TTCTGGGAGTTGAAGCCCACTCATCTTAAAGTGGCCAAGTTTGGACAACACTGACATAGATAGATTTTTCTCCATGACAATCTGCCCCTAACTTGATCCTTCAGATGTCCCAGTGTTGTACCCCTTGCCACTGTAACTGAGTCCATTCACCTTATTGCTGGTTGTGTTCTTTTTCTTTCCACCTTTCCCAGCATCTGAAGCTTCTCTAGAGAGCTAAGTCTTCTTTTTCATGTAGGACTCTAATCTGCTTTGGATGATCCTAAGCATTATTTTGCTAACATGTGAAATTAAGGATTTTGTAGGATAGTTTGCATACTCTGTTAAGTCTCCTTTTTTTCTTATTGGAATGTGGATTATGTTCTTACAATCTACTAGCCACTGTGTCATTCTCCAGATTTGTTGGCATAGCTTAGTGAGAACCTTTACTGATTCTTCTTCTGTTGCTTGCCATATTTCTGTGGATATTCCATCCATTCCTGTAGCCTTCCAACTCGGGAAGGACTCGAGTGCTGATCTAATTTTCAAAGGCCCTATTAAAATAAAGCCCCAATAGTTTATACTGGAAAGTAAAGGCAACCAGTTTAATTTCACCCTTAATTAAGAGCATTTCTCTAAGGAGAACATTTGAATGGAAGTTTAGATAGTTATACATATCCTGCTCTACTGTGCTCACTGTCTACGTTGGGTGAGGAATAATAGGAGTTGTAGTCCAGTTATACATATCTTACTACACTTTGCTCATTGTCTACGTTGGGTGAGGAGTAATAGGAGTTGTAGTCCAGTTATACATATCTTTTCTGTTTTCATAATATAGCTATTTTGTACTTAACCCCAAATTTATTTATATCATGTGGCTTAAATGCTATCATTTGTCTTATTTCAGAAAAATTGAAACTGTAGTGCTTCTGTCATAATACTTGGGAATACTTGTATCATAATAATTACATTCATTTGTGCATCAAGTTCTACAACAGCTTCTCTCAACCTTATACTTTCCAGATGTGTTTCACCACTTTGCTCATTGTCTACGTTGGGTGAGGAATAATAGGAGTTGTAGTCCAACATATCTGGAGGATACCATTGTCCAGCCCCTCACAGTAGAGCAGGATCAGGGAAGCAAGAATTAAACAGACTTTGGTAAGGGGTATCTTCATTGCAGAACTTGGGGTAAATAAAGAATCTTGGAAACTGTAGGAGGAATTTCCAACCATCATCAATATTGAGTTCATTAACATGGATTCTCTTGGAATGATTTGAAATTCTTCATCCCAGGTTTCTTACCACCTGGGCTGAGCTGCCATTTATAAGATGAGCTGCCAAGAGATTCAATAATAAATCAACAATGATATATATCAATTTATTGATTGATTGTTTATATCTCCTGTCCCGTCTTTTACTTTCCCTGCCTCCCTCATCTTATAACCACAATAGGAAAGCCTATTCTAGAAAATAATTCACACATTAATTTGATTAAAACCAGATTTTGAGTTTAAAAAATGGCCATTTCTGGAAGCATAAAATCATTAAAAAAGCTTTTTTTTTTTTTTAAGTGAAACAGGATTGGCTGAAATGTATTCAGATGTAAAATTCTGTCTTCATCCCCACATGTGTCTCCAAGCTCTAGTTACTAAGGCAAAACTCCCAAACAGGGATCATGAGCATGTGGTAACTTTTGTTTTTCTTTTTTTCTTTTTTCTTTGTTGGCAGCCTTTCACCAACCAAACTGACTTGCTGCACCCCATTAACCTCTGAAAAACTGCCAGGAAATTTAGCTTTTCTTGGAGGCAAAATCCCCTAAACCTATACGCTGTAGTGCTTAGTCACCATTCCAAAAAGCTGGCTGGAAAACAAAACATGCCCGCCCCAGAGACTTATCATTTCCTCCAGCACACAAGGAGGACCAAAAAAGGAATAAGCACTAGCATGTAGCCAGGCAGATACCATGGAAAGGAAAGCAGAAGGCAGAGGACATGGAAAGGAAATACAGCATCACCCTGAGTCTTAGAGATATTTTTGTGGTTCCATGGGAAAAAAAGTAAAACATCATCCAGGTTTTATATGTTATTTTTCCAAGAATAGATTTACACTAAAATAAGTTTTGAATTGCCATCCTTAGTTTTTAAAGAAGTAACATCTTGGTATATTTGCAGCAGCAGAGCATCGTTTCTCTGGGTCGAAGAGTTGGCTGTGGTTGTTGTTTTTAAAGTAGATATCCTAAGGACAAAATGTCCATTAGCATAGCAAGTACAAATTGGTAGCTCTGCTAAGCCCAGCTTCATTTCTATCCTGCCCAGCTTTCACTTATATGCTAGGAATTGAGGGAGCTGTTTCTCCCAGCTCAAAGCATGAAGAATGAGCCAGACTGAATCAGAGCACTTGAGGTGGGAATGTTCCTCCTTTTCCCCCACTGATCCCTCCAGGCAAAATTGCAGCATCTTCATCAACATTGCTGGCAGGGTGGAAGGAGAGACTCTTATCCTTCCTCCTAAGTTTATGCAGGCAATGGTGTGGATGTGAGCTGAGTGTGACTTGTATCCTAGCCCTGTCTATGACTGTTCCCCAGAGGTTGGGCAACCACCAGATATCCCTTCACTCAGAAAAGGTTACTTTTCCAGATGTACCGACTGTCTGTCCTTTCTTATAGGAAGCAGCACTTGGTTTTGTATTTTAAAACCTTTAAGGTAAAGGGTCTCACAGGTGGTACCTGGCTGACCTTGAATGGGTTCAAAATCGACTACAGTGGGTGGCCTCCAGAGACTCTTAGGCCATAGACTGGGGAACTGCAATAGACCCCAGAAGAGAGCAGTGGGAAACCACTTTTGTATTACGGCCAAGAAAACTACATGGACGCGTCCATGAAGCACCGAGAATCAAGCTTAACTTGAGGACAGTGTTAGGATAAAGATTGAGACTTCTGGCCATGGGCCAAATATTGCCTCTGAAGAATTCTATCTCTAAAAGAACACACTGAAGTACACATTTTACATAAATTATGAATGTAATTACAAAGATCACTTTTTTTCCTGTGTTTACAGTCTCCTGACTGGAAAAACAACATTTAAGCTATGTCTAAAATATTGAGTGATCGCAACCCAGTGCTTTATTTCAAGTGTTTCCACTCCCCCCATCCCTTTACAAAAATAAATAGGGATAGTGGGGAGGACTAAAAATAGTAAATTGGTGCTTTGCTCCCCATGGCAGCAAATCTATGAATGGGCAAGTTGCCTCAGTGCAGCCATTTTATGAGAACATCCATGGGTTAATCTCAAAATTCCAGAGAAGTCCATTTGTCCAAAACATTCAAGAATCTCTGTCCTAAAATGTGATACTGTAAATATAGGTTAGTGGAAATGAATGTTGTGTTGCAAACATACGATCGTATCTCCCAGCAATAATGGGCTCTGCTCCGCATAGGCATATCCAAAATACACATAGAATTGAAACTGAACTGAAGGTGGTCTTAGAGGAGTGTTTTAAAGGAGTCTCGGGACACACATTGTGCTAAGCTGCAGGTTGTTACCTGTGGTTGTTGAATATGTCACAACTGGATGAATGTGCCATCCACAGCCTTTAGACTTTTGGAATCCATCCACCCAAACACAGCAGCACTGTGTGTGTGTGTGTGTGTGTGTGTGTATGCGCGCGTGCTTGTGTCTGTGAATAAATAATAAACAAAAATTGGTTTTTGCTTTAAGAAAGCCCATCATCCCCAGTGAAGAGTGTGAAAGTTTCAGTCTCATCGCTCCACTGATGTCACTGAATTACTGTTATTCTGCTGCAATTCTCAGAGGCTAAAAAAGAAACCTAAGTGCACGAATGGATTTATAACAGTAAACTAT